CAATAGTTGTATCAATAACGTGTAATGTACTTTCATCAACACCACAAGTAACATCATTAGCGCGAATCAGCTTTCGATAACGATATTTGAATATGCGTGTACATTCAAAGGCATCAATGGACAATCAATAGCGCGTTTGTACATTCATATGCGCGGAATGTATTTTCTTGTGCGCGAAATTCAACTTCAATAACACCAAATGACAGACAATTGCATTTATGGACAATCATTTACCCAAAAGTGAAAATTCATTAGTGCTATTAGCATAATCATTGACAATCTATAACGCGCTTGGACAACCATGAGGGTCAACGTTATATTCTATAGCGTGGTTCGACAAACATTTGCATGATTGGAATGAACAATAAGAGAAATAAAACAAATTCTTCTGGAATTTTGGAATTCTTCTGTGTGTTTTTTGGTTTTCTCTTCTCTAATATTGTTGGTTTCAGTTTAGGTCAAGGAAACACAAAAATTGTCGGCTTGGACAATTAGCAATTTATTCTTAATCAGCCCTTTGCTTATTGTGCGACTTTATGGTCGACGTGGGTGAAATAGATACGTATTCAGTGCGGATATGCGGATGAATGGTACGCAGGAAAGTATATAGGAGTGGCGATCTCCTATTCCTTGTTTTCCCTCTAGTTGTTTGATAAGTGCGCGCTGGTTTGACTAAGCTGGAGCGGTTTTTTCGTACGAATGAAAAACGAAACGGTAAATTCTTAAACCGTCCTGTATCCGTACCATATCTTACCTTCCGTAACCACGCGTTGTGGTTGAATGAATTAGTAGAAAACAATGAGAAACCATTTCAATGTTACGGAAACATGTCATATATTACCGCGTACGTGATGTAAATTCATGTTGCCCAGTCATAGAAAGTAACTGTTTAATCTATTTTAAATAGTAAATTAACCCCGTATATAACTTCCATTTATATAAGGAAGGGTGGGTGATCTACTTGCTAAGATATATCATGTTGCACCCAAGCTAGACCAGAATGCACTCTGTTCGTTATCTCAGAAAAAGTGTATGGCACATCTCGGCTCCCGCAGCGGAATTGAGACCGACTTTGCAAAATGTATAGAGTTATTCTATGCTGATATTGGTGTTTTTTTAAAAAGATTTACAGGACAGTAGTGGTAGTCCGTGGACCATCACTGATCAACGAGTACACATATTATTTTACGGAGCTCATTGCACATCTTAACCCTCTCTTAAACCCTGTGGTCTACGTGGCGTGCAGCAGACAGTATCGCAGTTCGATTAAAAGACTCTTTGATAACTGCTGTCTGTATCGTTTGAGCCTGTTGATGCAGAAATATCTTGTTGGTAAGTCTAGTTTGAAATATCGCGCAATAGACCTCCTCGGCTCGGCGTAATGTTGTCCCATTTCAGACCACGTGTCATTCCCTCGAGAATAATATTCTTTGTTTGAGTTGTATCCATATTCATGTGTCTTCTCATGTGCAACGTACCGAGCGCAAACCTTAAACAAAGAAATGATACTCTAGGGAATGACATGTGGTCTGAAATGGGACAACATTACGTCAGAGCCGAGGTCTATAGAGGTTATCCACTGTTTTCCCGTTTCAGACCACGTGTCATTTCCTAGAGTATTATTTCTTTGTTTAAAGGTTGCACATGAGAAAACACGTGAACATGGATACGAGTCAAAATATATCTTATTTTCAAGAAAATGACAAGTGGTCTGGTCTGAAAACATTATACCCAAGTGAATTTGGTACATAGAGCGCTTTATACTATTATCTTGGGCCTAATGTTTTACCATTTCAGACCACGTTTCATTTTCTTGAGAATAAGAAATTGTTTTTGAAAATCCATATTCATGTATCATGTTATTTCAAAATGGCTATAGATTAATATGTTTGATTTTTTGTCCTACAGAAAGTTACGGCGGATCATCAAGCATTGAACTGCGCAAGATGTCTTCCTTGTCTGCAAGATCAGAGACTACAATTGTCGAATAAGTGTAATATCATTTTTGTATATACAATACATGCAGAATACATACATATTGCACGGTATTTGACCCTAGGACATTCTCATCAGACTATCATAATAATAATATTAATTATATTTATATCAATAATAATCATTCAAGAAAGTACGAGAAGCTGCAACTATTTCAAAAAAGGTTGTCGAAGATTTTGTTACATGTTGCATCTTGCATCTTGCAAGTTGTCTGAATACTAAGTTGAAAGAGGCATTATATTTAATCATATGTAATTTGAGCAAAAAATAATAAWAAAATTGCCGGAAAAGCATGCAGACAAACTCTGGAAAAATTCCATATCGTTGTGACCTCTGGCTGATTGTATTCACGTCACCCATAGTGCATTTCGTGCTTCTTATGCAACATGCAACAATTAAAACCTTCACCACTTTTTTTCAAACAGCTGTATACGCCCCTCACAACATATGTATTCCTATAGGGAGATCCTACATAGTACTCAGCTATGTATTGTATTCAAAAAATCTATTGCATTCTATTGTCTTTCTCTATTATATTAGACGTGATTCATTGTATTTTCATGCTGCGTAGGTTCTCTCTTTAGCAATGCAGCTCAATATGGAAAAAGATACAATATAAATGTAATCTCATAGGAAACAAAATTCATGGATCTGTACGTCCTCCAAAATGAACTGTCCTGGAAATCGCTGCAATGGATCTATAGACTCCTTGCATGTGACGTCGAAGCTGGTCAATTTGGAGGACCAAAAGAATTTTCTATTGTTATGTCCTCCGATTTAAGCTGCATTCCGGTGTGCTGCAAGGGTCTATATAAAGAACCGCCTGAGGTATCACTGTCCAGTTGACGTAGACGAGCTGATTGTAACCATAGTTAAGGGGTACCTAATTTTATCACCCAATCTCGTTTTTATATGAGTTCAAATATCAAAAAAAGGTCGAGTTTTTTCGGATGTAAAAGGGTTGTAATCCGTCTATCTGGAGGGTGTTCATGAAGGCAAATAGCCTTAGGGGAATAGCCTTGGGCAAGAGTAGGGAGTACGTAGCAAGATTTGGATAGAAAAGCAGTCACGTATTTTGACAGTTAATTATGAAAACTGGCTTTATATCAGAAATCAAAAACGATAAAATCTAGGATAGTTGTTCAGTAATCGCGCAGAAGTTTATTAATATAAATATAGTCTTGGTATACTGCTGATGATAAACATTGCACGAGGCTGTACGACTAATTGCAAGCAAAACAATCGTTACAAAAGCTAATTGCGTTATGTTTGGATCTTGTATCTTTGCTTATTTATTTTACCATTAATCCGTGTATGCTTATCTCGTAAGGCTGCAGTGAGTGTGTATTTTGATCTTTCTTTCTGTGCGGCGGCTATATAGCTAGCGTGCGTTGAATCCGTTAATTGTTTCGTAAAATAGTTCCGGATGCAACGCAGGCTATGCGGCGGCCTGCGAAACATGAAATTTTAATTTTAATTCAAACGTCTAATAATTCTAAAAAATATCAATAGTTTATAAATTCAATTAGGAGTTAAAGAAAAGAATTCCGAAGAACGTACTGCAGACCCAATATCTTTCACAATATTTCACAACCTTGTGTAGTGTAGTCGAGTACGAGTGGTCCGTACGAGCACCTTTGATAGAAACGAATTAACAAGGAGTATGGAGTGAGACATTAAACATGTTAAGTCTTAAACGTCCCTTGTAACAATTAATTGAAGGTGTTTTAACACTTTTAAAACTTGTATGTGCATATATTATATTCTTGTTTATTTGAATTTAAAAATGTACGAAGGTGTTAGAGCTAATCCGATGACTTAATCTCTATGTGATAACGTATAACATCCAAGAGTCACGCAGRTAATCTAATTTAAAGGAATTAAAGATCATTAGACTAAGCTTGAAAACATCGAAAAGTATTCGTATTGCAAAGGAATTACAGATCTGTCTGCGCGAAAATGTGTGCGCATTTTAGCTAACATATCCTATTTCGAAATAATGGGAGTTAAGACTTTTTCTTTCTTCATTAAGCAAACTGTGAAACACTGTTAGATAACTCTGTGATTGTCTGGATTAGTTTTCAGAGGGTATTAGGGGAATTTATAGGACGCAATCGTGCGCTGCCAATGCGCAGCTTCTCACTGGTGATCACCAGTGGTTCTATCTTCGGAATCTATGCCACATGCTTCTAAAGAGAATGCGGGATAGGTATTCACCTTCTCTGCAAAATTTCGATTACATGTAGCGAAGAGCAACATACCAAGGAACTATGGCCTGCCTATTCGACTTTCCTGAAATTGCACTTGCTAATTTATGAGATTTGATTAAAGATCGTCTATAGAGGATATGCATGTTACGTAATAGACCATCCTGGTTGACGATAACAAAGAAATCCTCATTAGAGTCTTTTGTTAGATCAAGATGGTGGCTGTTTTATTATTATTCATATTTCAAGAGATTTTGAGACACAYGTTTGCACACACTGTATCGTTGCTTCTGATTCAAAAACTTTGGTAGGCAAAAAGTCGCAATCGGTCAAGATATGAAAATCACGCACTGTTGTGTAAAAGAAAGTACAGGCCTCTTCATGACGGTCTCCTTAAACTGCTAAACACTGAACATGAGCTAGATACAGAAAAGATTACGCCTAAAGTGGCTCCTTATTGTTGAATGGAAAACATTAGCAAAACATGTTAAAAATTAGCTATATTGTACGTTTTTGATTAAGAAAAACGTGGTTTGATTTCTTAAGATTCCAAGAGCATGGACGCGACGGTTTTGAGATAAGTTCTGTTCTTTGAATGTCTGGACTTGGCTGGCCTTTGGTGACATTATCAGTGTGTGGCCAATGATTTTTCCTAAAATGGCGATATTTTGATAGTAAAGACTGACGCAAGAAATCTCTTCTGCTTCAAAACTGCAGGTATTCTTGAGGAAATGAAAGTTTAATGATAGCATAATTTTCTTTCATTGCACATTTTAACATGTCTAAAGATGGCGATAAAACGTAAACGATTTCGAGCTATAAATTTTTTGCTGTCATTTGTAAAAAAAGCAAGCCCGTCCATATGGTTTGAAATTGTTCTTGTTTTACGAGGTTAGAATGCACTTAATAGCCCGTTGCTAACAAACCTATGGCCTTCATTCCATTATCAAATTCAAATTTAAAAGTCGATTTCTGGAGAAAGAGGAAAACCGGATTAAAACGAAGTAAACCTTGAAGCACAGGTCTGGTGATAAAACCCGTGACCACAGTACATCCCACTTTGCTTCCTAGTAATTAGTCAGCTGTTTCACGCGAGATGTGACCGCAGGAACAAACGTACTGCCTACCGTTTTGTCCTAAGTTGTGGAACAAGAAATGACAGATGAATTAGTTATTGCTTTTCGTCTTACGTGCGCAAAAGTTTGTAACAAACAAAATACCATGCGCAATTAGAGGCGCCCTGTCTAACCATCCTGAACACACTTAGATAAAATGCGCGTACCATATGGACGAGACAGGAGTGTAAAACTGCACCGAATTAATAACATAAAAGTATAACATATGCGATATAACCTGAGGATATTCAGCGTCGGCTTCGGTTGCATTTAAACTTCGATTACACGCAGAGTAAAACTTGAAAACAACTTAAGAGCGAGTCTCGTTTTGCGTGCGTTTATGTCTCATGGCGGACACATGATGTATCGTAAATGAACGGGTCAAAATTAGTGCATTGTTTCCCTGCTAGAGGAGTCTACCTTGTTGGCGATTCTGCCAAGAAACGCCAACGAAGGAGACTCTGCTAGAAGGGAAATGCATTGTGTGCGCGATAAATTAATCTAGATCTTTTGTGGGTGGCGCACATTCAAATCGACATACCAATAATATTTGCGCGATGTTTTTGCACGGCAGTTTGTAGGCTTTTTAAAGTTTACTAGTGGATTCTGGATTTGTTCTTAATTCTTCTAAACGTTTTACAGTTATCGATTTGAACTGAAACCAATATAAGTTAAGACAAAGAAAGTCTGGCTCCCGTTTGCAGATGGAGGAAACAGGGGCGGGACAAGATAACGATTCTAGACGCTAATCCAAGACGTGTTCTTAGCAAAATGACCTTTAAATTTGGAACTGACGCGTCGGTATAATTAGTGATTGATCTGTCTTGTTACGAGAACCGCTTGCCGGTACGATGCAGGACCAAATGCCAGCAGCAATAAGGGATCCATTAAAGTAATTAATAATAGGGATTTAACTTATCATCAAGTTATGCACTCTTGTTGGTTGATTGTGTATCAGTATGGCGGATCAGGTGTGACTTGATCGCAGTATATTGATGAGGACCGTACTTATCTATTTATCTAACCGAATTGATTTGTGAAACATGTAAACCTAATGGCGAAACAAAATGTCAAAAACAAATAACAATAGATAAATAATCTTTATCATTGCCACGCCCTATAATGCTAAGTTTGTACTAAGACATTAATGCAAGCACGAGTACCTTAACCGTATCCTCCCTGAGGAACACGCAAAGAAAGGAACGCATCGAAAGGAGATTTAAATCGTTTGATATCTGCGCTGCTGTTTGATGTGTTTAAGCAGTTTAGAGTTAGCCTTGTAAACAAAATTAAGAAAACGCGGTTGTTGGATTTAGAAGTTTTATGCGGACTTTGATCAGATTGATTTAATGCGCAATTGCTTGTCAGTCCTAGATAAGGTTGATATAATGGGTCTCGGCCCTAAAAATTAGAATGGTGTATGAATTTGAATTTCATAAAGCAGATTATGACCTCACGCTCTAGTTCAAAAGAAGAAAAAAAGTATAAGGGTGCATCACTTGGATGGACTGCAGTTAGTGTAGCTTGCACAAGTGAGGAAACTGGCACAACATTCATAGCTTTCTAAAGGCTTCTGCATCGTACATACAGGTTTCAGGATGAATTATATACATAAATTCCTAGCAAGTGGAACGCTAGAACGCAAGTGGGAAAAATAAACGGTTCTAACATATCCTTGTAAGTTTCAGAATGAGGAGTGACCATTGCCACAGTGAGTGCACACTTAAATGGGTTTTTAACATCGCAGCTTTCAAATGGCTTCCGTGCGGGTGTTCAGGATCGGATGAAACGTGCGTATTATTGCACATCCCTTGTATTGTCCCGGTGGAAACCAGTTAATGTCAAAACAGATACTTTTATTTTCCGTCCAGGCGACGTTTCCTCTATTTCGAGCAGCTCATTAAAGTAGGCTATACAGATCCGATTATGACTTAATAGCACAATGAACAACTACGCATGCTCCAATGCTTTGGATTAGAATTTGCGCACCGTTCATAAACAATAAGAAATCTGGTTAAAGCTATTAGTTATCTAATATTGAAGCCTTCTGTCCACTTAGCCACAATATCAAGTTGCAACCCTTACGTTTTCGACATCAAAGCCTGAAAAGTATGAAACGCATTAAGGGTACTTCCCGCGATTTTGTAGCTCGTTAGTTGACCCCATATTGTGATTTCCTTTTTACAAAGGCGAGAGTAATTAAATTACTGAGGGATGTATTTAATTATGGAATACGACACGGTGTTTATGGCGAGATTGTAATTGTCAAAGAAAGTTTTGTTACCCAATTAAAAGCACTTGTAGGTGGCGGAAGGGCAATTATTATTATTATTATTATTATTAT